ATTGAAGTTTCACAAATCAGAGAAAGGCTTTACAAAACCCAAACCTGGTTGTCATTATTCTAAAACTAGTTTAGAATAAACTAGTCCAGGTTTGACATGTGTAGGTATATTTTTTTTATTAGAGTAGATTAAAGATGCTGAAGGTAGGGAAAAATGAAGTGGAATTGCCCTTTATTAATTTCCCGAATGGGAAGCTCGAATCGGAAGCCAACTTCAGCTTGGTTCTGAGGTGAATTAATGCTGGAGAGCCATTCCTGCACAATCCTGCCCGCTATTATCATGACTCACTCCATCATCTGCCAGGGCTTGCTAAGGCCCCACCCCCATTCAGAGAAAATTGGGAAAATTAAATGAGCTTTATTATAACCGTGAGGTTTTAACAGAAGAATTGATTTCACGCAATAAAGAAAATGCGAACCAGGGCGTGGCCTGCTTCTGTGATGAAAAAAAAAAATATATATATATTAAAAAATATATACATTTAATCACCAAAAGCCCTTTGTTTTCATATTTTAAAGAATTTTGGCGTTTTTCAAAATGTCCCATTAAATCTTCCAGAGCTGATGAGATCATTTGCATTCCAGCATTTAAGGGAACAAATCTGAACAGTTCACCGCAGATGGTAGCCTTCTGTTTCACTGATTGTTTACCAACCGCATAAAAATAAACTCCCAGTCACAGCATTTTTCAGTAAGACAATATTTAAGATATAAAAAATAAATCTTGTTTTTTTTCCCCATTCATTTAATGTCCTATATGGGGTTCTATTAGTGCCAAAAATATGTAGCCCATGTGTCTACATCTTCTAAGTCTAAGATTCTCTAGACTATTTCATTTTCTAAAGTGCAAGTAAGCAGCAATGATAAAAACGTTGTGATGAACAAAAGTGATGTAAACATATGACTGTGTATTTACAGTTCCAACATTTCAGTTTGTTTTGTTTTTGATTGTTTTTTTTTAATTTAATAACCCATTTTACATAACATTTAGCAGTCTATTGGCAGTGGGGAAGAACCTGTTCTGGAATCTGCTGGATCTGCATCGGATGCTTCATAGCCTCTTTCTAGAAGGCAGCAGAAAGAACAGACCATCTATATCGGAGGTCTTCAACAGGGGGTCCGCGACCTCTAGGGGGTCCACAGAGGTACTGCATGGGGGTCGCGAAAGTTTTGGTTGATTAGACTTTTTTATATATTTCCCCCTGCTATTTTTTTCTACTAATTGAAATGTCTTTAAATACACATTAGCATGAATTCAACACACTGTAGTAAACGGATAAATGGAAGCAGAAGATGCCTTTCAGTCATCAATGCACACATTCAGCGACACACAGGAGCTCTTTCAAGCTGGGCACCGTTTCCTTCACAACACCTGTCCCATCAACCAGGAATCAGGATCAGAAATACTTTAATAATCCCAGCGAGAAATTGACTTTCATTACATTACCCCATCTGTAATAGAGTGACTACAGGACCAGTTTGATATAACACAATTTCACACAATATATATACTTATGGGGTCCCCACTCCATCTCGCCATCAGTTTTGGGGTCCTTGGCCTGGAAAACATTGAAGTTATTGAGGTTATGCCGCAATCCTTTGTATGACACTGCACTCATTTGCATGTTTTCCTGGTCTTTCCAATCAGTTGTGCTTTTATGGGTTTTGAAGTCATTTGGTGATTGCCCTTTTGCCCTATCTGTATTGGATATGGCCTAGTATTTTATCTTTCTCATTATATTTGGTACTTTGCATTCTGTACTGGCATAGAGGTTAAAATATTAACCTGAGGAATGGGATACTTACTAGAAATGGATTTTTAGGTAAACTAAAACCGATAAGTAGGTCATCTCTGCTCTAGGGGCTGCCTGGATTCCCTGGAGCATATGTTTCATTAAAAAAAAATAATAATAGGGATAATAGGGAAGATAATAGGGAAACCCTTCTTGGGTTAATTTGCTTAAGCTACTGCCAAGTCTTATGCCACTTTAAAATCATGAAATTGCATATTTAGAACCTTGCCCACAACATGAAGGCTTAAAGAGCTGATGTGGCAACACGTCCTGATTCAATCTAGAACATTTCAAGAACAGATAAGAAAATCCTAACTCTTATCTAATCTGCAAATCAAGCCTCATTGACGTGAGCTTTAAGTAAAACATCTGCAACAGATCTGAGCAGTCTCCATTACCATTGTAAATCTAATGGTTGCTCATATTTTGCCCACCCTTTTTAATAATCAGTGTCCCCACATTCTCAACTTGATTGGCAAAAATGGCATAAATGATGGGCAAAGGGTGAGTTCCAGGTGCAAAAGGCAACACTATACCTTTTAGCCACTAGGGGCGCTAGATCTGGAACTAGGTGTAAAGTCATAACTATACCTCATGATATCAGATGAGTTAGACCGTATATCGACCAAGTTAGTAAATTAACTAACTCTTGTTAGCTTTTGATTTCTAAAGTTTGTGTTTACAAAATCAGTTTGTTTTACTAACAATTTAGAGCTAGTCTTTAACTAATGTCAAATGACACCGTAAAAAGACATCATGGTAAAAAATAAGCTTTGAAAACGTTCTTTAATTTCCACATCAGGTTCACAGAAAATGTATATCAAAATCAGAAATAAATAATACTAATTAAAATATTAAAACTAAAGTTTTCATAAAACACATCTTAAAGTCAAAGCAATAATCAATCTGGCAGTTTTCAACCTCAGAAACACAAAAATTGAAAGAAAAAGAAAGTGAAATGGGATAGAATTTTAAATTTTTACTATACAAAAAATGTGATTTTCAGGCTTTTAACCCATTAAAGACATACATGCAAGTTTGTTTGTTTTTTTGTTTCAAGAATGGTGAAACATTTGTGCTTAGGTTTCCTTTTTTTGAGGGGTTACCTGAGCTCTTGAAAAAAAGGTTTTGTCAAAAGTTCAGTAAAGGTATTTACTTTTTTATTTTTAGTCTTTAAAGTCTCTTAATATCACATTTTAGTGACGGTTCTTTTTCCAATTATCTTGGCATTAAATAAAACTTTTTAAGTCACTTTAGGGATTACAGTACAAACAGTAGTTTCTTGGCTTCATCTAGTCAATGAAGCCAAGAAACTCCTCATCCATGTCGTCGCTAGACTGGAAAATTTCCCAAAGTTTCAGTAGCGAGTTCTCAGGTCCTTGCTCTACAGACTCAAGGTTTGTGTCCACTTTCCGTCTTTTGTGCTTATAAACTTTGATCTTTCTCTCAATTTTTTGCAGTGTAGACACTATTGGCATATAAGGGATTTCTTCTTCCTTTTCAGAGAAAATGTTTTCAGTCTGTGAGAATGTTTTCAGTTCATGGACAGACTCAGACAGAATAGCATCCTTGTTTGTATCCTCAGGTCCATGTGTCACTGCACTGAAGTTGCTCGCTGATGCCTCACTTCGAAAGTTTGTACCTAGCAAGTAAGAAACTGAGCTGTTTGTGTCTTTGTGAGGAATTTTGCCGACAAAACTAACACAGTCTTCCTTGGAAGGAGAGGAGGCAACAAATTCCCCATCTAAGTGAGTGTTTTCTGAATTCAGTTGAGGACTGGTGATCCGCTCAGGTTTTGGAGTTGAAAGCTTCCGTCTAGTTGTCCTTCTGCAAACCAGAAACCTGTGCTTGGAGCTGTCCGAGTAAGTGTAGCAGTTCCTTTTCTTTCCTTGTACACAGATGTTTCCCAAATATGATTCTGCAGATGCATCTCCAATCAAATCCTCCTCTTCCTTAATGGTTTGTGAGGGACTGTCATCTCCTTGAAGAATTGGGCCAGCTTCCCCACATGGTTCAGGTACCAAAAGAACAGAGGATACACTGCACTTTGGCCTATAGAGAAAAAGCAGAAATTAACTGAGTGGAAACAAAACAAAAAACTGATCAGTTTCCTTTTTATGCCGTGACTGAAAAGGAAAAATTACCTTGAGGCTTTAGCCTTGATGGGAAGGAAACTGAAGTGCAAAGCAGAAACCAGTTGGTCCACCACCATGTACTCATCACTCCTGGAGAAAGCCTTGTGACGTTCACTCTGCAGATGCTATACAAAAATCACTCAGTTAAATTATTCAGTGATGATTTAATGACTAGAGTCAATTAGTGAAGACATCGGGGTATACAGAGACTAACTCCACACAACAAACAAAATGCAGACAAAACCTGCTTCTAGGTAAACTAATAATTAATCAACATAGCAAACAGTGAGTAATATGTTTAGCACTTGGGACAAAAGGAGCACTTATACATGTTTTTTAATATATCATGTTCCATATTATAATAATCCACAATCAATAAGAGTATTAAAACAAGTTATAATATTTATATGATTTATAATGCATGACAAACACAAATGAAAACCATCAAAGCAGTTCCTCTGAAAATTAAAATGATAGTTTAGGGTACAGGATGTCATTTTGGTCAATAGTCATGGGGAAGAATATTTGATAACATGACAATTAGCAGTGAGTCACAAGAGAGCAGATCACAGAAGGGTCATTTCTCAAGAAAACTGCCATTTCAGAAACTTATATCAAAGCAGATTATTTGAAAAGCTGCAATGCAGAAAATGTTAAAAACAACAAGGATAGCTGTAACCTTGCGGACTTTAAAGTAGTTAAAAACGTGAGGACTTCACAGGGTGTCACTATCACTGGTTTAAGAACTCAAAGAGTCAGGCAGACTTATCCAGAACATAAACTAATGCCATCTCTTTCCTAGGGTCAGTTGACTCTCCAATCAGCAAAAATGTTTAGATGTCTCAAACGGATTTGGGAAAATTAGGTCTGGCTGATGTCTTCTTGGTCCAGAGTAGGGCATTCACCAAAAAAAAAAAAAGAAAAATCAAGTAGTCTCTCCGTAATTAAGCTATGTCAACTCACATCTGGGCAACTCCAAAGTATATATAGTCTGAAGTGGGAAAAAATATATATCTTCTACTAATTTCCTTTAACATATATTGATAAGTGAGTTCTGAGCTTCATTCATTCAGGCCTTAGTGCTGGAAAGCTATACGGTGTCTAAGGGAGAGGGGTTGTTTATCCTATTAAGAGAGTGTTTGGAATAAAAATAATGATTCTCATAACATACTAGACTGTTTCTCATGGATTATTCAAAAACTGTGTGTAATTTCCAACAGTCTGTCTCTGTTTGGGTATCGATATGTGAAGAACTTCACAGCTCTTTTGCAGGCTTTAATTTTTTGAGATAAATGCCGTCTAGATCAGAACATCATACTGCGAGTACTGTCGTGATTGATAGTGCTTTGTCATGTCTTTAGTTCAGCTCTGCAGGAGTTGCGCACAGACTCTTCCGTGGTTCAACACCTTTAATGTGGCAAATAAATGTCAAGAGATCAGATCACAAAAGGGTCATTTCCTCAGAAAACTGCCACTTCAGAAAGCTATATCAAAGAAGATTATTCCAAAAGCTGCAAAGCAGAAAATGTTAACAAACAACAAGGATAACTGTAACCGCTGTGTGAATTCGCGACATTTGTTCTCCTTGTTGCCTGCTGCTAGCATGTGGTTGTGCTAAAGGAAAATTCACACTTTCTTCTTTGATTTCAAACTTTGACATACGCCCCCTGGCAGTTGAAGAAAAATCCACAGAAAACTGCACCTTCGCATAAGCCGCATGGTTTAAAGCGTGGGGAAAAAGTAGTGGCTTCTAGCCCAGAAAATCCAGTACGGGGCACCTACAGTGTATGTAGTGAGTGATTTATAGTCAGACAGTGAGTAATGTGTTTAAAAAAAACATTTCTATTTTTGAATTACAACAGATGTCACAGAATATCCAAATAAAATGCTGTCATGCTTCCATCTCTTTTGCAATCATACCATGTTGAGCTGGTCATATTTGACTAAGCAGCACTCGCAGTAACCGCCTCGCTTCTTCTCTCTGTTCTTTTTTCGGCCTTTTTCCTCAGCAGCTGCAGCTTTCACTCTCCTGTAAGAGACAAAAATAAGTTTCAAATAGCTGTCCATATTATAGTTCTGATGCTAGCCATTTTAGACGTGTTTTGTTAAATCTAAAGCCTGTTTCAATCTTATTCAGTTGAATCATAAGTAATGTTTACAGATGTTAACTTTTGTTTACATGATCAAAGACTTTTATCTGTGTAATGGAAATGAAATGTGTCAGAGTGAGCTTTCTGGCTAAACTGTTACCCTGGTTGATGCAACACTTACATAGTTTGTTTGCTGAGAGGAAGACACAGAAAAATTTAGAAGCTATTTATCCCCAGCTCAACAAAAACTAAACTTCAATGATTATACCAGTTTTGCTCTTATAAGGCCCCAATTTATGAATAACCTACTATGTACTAATACCACAGGTTTCATAGTCGCCAAGATTACCAAACACCACAAAAATTTAGGACCTAATTTAAAGAAAGTAAACAAAATATATAAATATAAAATTAAATTGACTAAATAAACTTTGCAAAAATAAAATAAAAAATAAATCTTATTTGACAAAATAGAAGTAGAGGAATTCTGATTAAAAAAAAATTGTCATCTGGGTCTATATCTAAAACTCTAATTTAAGATAACATTTTAGATATAGTATAGGCATAAATTTGGAATAAATCAAAGACATTTTGCTGGAAGATAAGGAATAAAAAATCTGGGCAGAAGCATTTTTCATACTTGCTGGTGCTGCAGTTTGTTTACAGTTTATCAAGTCGCAAGTGCAGAAAAAGCATAGCAGAAAGCTGATGCTAACAGGCAGAACACATGCACACCGCTGTGCTTTGAAACCCATTATTTTCTGGCCGAGGAGAGTTTCTCAAAAATTAGTCTGACTTGCATGTATCAGACTGGAATGCACATCAGGATCACAGAGGACTTAGGGAAATGAAGGAAAATCAAGGCTCCCTTTGGGCATATGCAAAGGTGTAACAAAAGTCACAATAAAACTATTTTTGGCATAACTCCAAGGCACAATAGAATACCTGTGTCCATGCTGTTTGATTCCAGAGGGATGTTTCCCCTCAACACAGAACGGACTGTAGGGAGCTGCTGTCGTCAGGTAAAACTCAGGCAGGTGTGGCATTGTGGTGTAGATCGGTCGATAATGTCTGATAAAAGAAAAGTACTGATTATATGTAAACACTTTTTAAGAGAGGCAATACATGTTATGCACCTTTAAATGTTGGTATACCTGCTTGAATCCTCAACCTTAATAAAAGGTTTAGCGATCCGCCCCGCTGCAAATGACATCACAACATTGAGCATGCAGGCAACAAAAGTAATCTGAGATCTGAATATAAATGAAAGCTGTTTGAAACTACAGATATTTACCTTTTGATTTCTGAAAAACCTTTGCTGAAGCTTCAACTTTCACCTATTATAATAGATTAAAAAAAATAAAATGGGAATTAATAATGTTGACCAAGTGTATTTCAAATTAAAAAAATAAAAAATTTCCATAGGTTTTTTTTTTTTATTCCGACATTTTTAAACTCACTTGTAATTTATCAGCAGCTGTTTTTGAGACCTGGTTCCTGAAAATTTTCTTTTTCTTCTGAATATAAACCAATACATCTGAAAGTGACATAACAGAAAAGAAAAATGAAAAAACAACCATAAAAGTGTGAAGACATAACATTATATTTTAATCATGTTTTCACCAGCGTAAGCTAAAACAACCAACCATCCAAGTAGAGGATTTTGACACCCCACTCCAGCGCATTTGACAGGATTCTGTCCATTTGTACCCTTCCCTAAAAGACCAAAACAGCAGAAAAAGTCAGTCCAGAAAAAATATCTACATATAAAAATCTGTAAATGATGGTAAATATCAGTGTTGCATTAACAAACCTGCCCTGTCACGACTCTTTCCACCAGAGATTTCCCTCGACTCTTGATCACCTATGACAGAAACAAAGTTAATAATGTAATGTATCCAAAAAACATCTGAACATCTGAAGCAATGTGCTATCAATAATAAAATAAAACACCAATACAGACTTACTGTATCCACTGAACCCTGAGGTCTGCTTTTAACATTGTCCACATTGTTTGAAGAAGGCTGTCGGTTGGAATGGGGGTGTGGGGAACTCAGTCCAGAGTCGGGACTGGGGACAGGGGAGTCCTGTCTGAGGCAGTGCACATGCTTTGCCTCCCACTTGTTGGATACCAGATACTTGATTTCCTTACTGAAGAACTTCTCCACAGTCTAAATGAACAGAACAGAGAGATGGGATAAAACTTCAGGGCAGAGATTGTTAACATCTAAAAAAGCCACAACAATACAGAGAATAAAATGATTCGAGCAGTTTAAGGCAGACCAAGGTTATCAATTTGTAAATATTTCTGCTGCTTCATAATTCACATCTAAATCTCTGATTGTGCACCTCATTTTAAAAACATTTACAAAGCAAAATTCCAAGAGATCAGTTATAGGTTAAAACAAAACACAAATGTCTGCTTTTTGGTAAAAGACAAAAGAAATGAAATTTTAGTATTATTTAATATTTATATATATTTACTTAATTTTATATTTTTTTTTTTACATCTTCGATTCATAAGAGGCTGTGGTAGGTCCAGACAAGACTGTGGTAGGCCACTACAACACATTAGTAAATACTACCTTTCAGTAGGATGGTTATCAGAGCCATTTTAGCAAAGCTTTCTGCCACTGGCATGCATGCCAGAACAGCTCGACAATTTTATTTGGCTCTGCCAAACCGGCTGATTCGATAAAGGATGGTTTAGTTCCTTCAGTTTTTCTTTGCAACAGATGGGCTTTGTCAGCTTGCCTGTCAGAGGCTTCAGCTGGTGTTCTGTATCTTCATCCCCAACCACATTGGCATTATCCAATATTGTACATTACCTACTTAATAATCCATGAAATGCTATATCATAAGCTTGTTATCCAGTGCAGTGGGTTGGTAATAGCAATTGATTATGCAGTGTACAAATAATAAGTCAGATCTAAATTAATGAATATTCAGTTATTAGTGTTAACTAATCTAATAAGCCAGTGTGTTCAGTGTGGTAGAGAAAGCAAGACAGACTCTCTGAAAAATTCAGTTCTTGTTGTGGGCAGCAGTGTTGCTTTCGTCAACCATGAGAATGACGAAATTATTTTGTCGACGCTCCTTTTTTTCATGATGATAATGAAAACCGATGAGCTAAAGATGGATCTTTGTTGACGATAACTTGATAGTAATGGGTGAGAGTTTTAGTCAACGAGATGAGACTAAATAAAAATTAGCGGGTAGTTGGTCAGACATTTAAAATGCATCATTGTGCTACAATCTGCTAAGCAGTATCAGCCGTGCTGCTGCGTCCTGTTTGAACAGGCAGCCCACCTGCCATGCAGCGGTTCTCATTCAGCATGACCAAAGATGGATCATGGCAGCATCGGCATGGGTTTAAATAATCCAGAATGGTCCAGGTGTCTGACAAAACTGCGCGCTAAACTCTGACAAACTGTTCTTCCAGCTGTGCTTGTGATGAAATGCGTCTTGGCGTGTGTGTAGCTCAGAGTCTCAGTACTTTATGCACCACACTGATGGTTCAGTGCTCTTCCTGCTGTCGCTACTTAATAAACTATGTGGATGATCATCCTCTGACAAGTATAAAAAATCCCTTTGTCTAACTATCAAGATTTTATTGCTTCCAGCTCACAAGAGGTGATGCTAAACGTCCTTCAATTTCTACCAAAAGGAATCCCTAAATTCTATCCAAAGAAAATATTTCATTGCATACTGTTTATTTTTGGATAAAAAGCCAGATGAAATGGTGCATAGATCTTTGAACATTTCTCTCTCACTGTTCTTGTTTCTATATAGTTAAATATTATGTAAATATTTCCATGAATTGATATTAAATTTTTCTCTCTTTCCTTTAAATATTTCAACCTTTTAGTTAGCATCTTCATTCAATTTAGGTCTGGATTGGCACGGCATTACAAGGTAATTATGAAGGTTCTCTCTGTATTTTCTTTTTTATATCAAAACCCTGTAAATTTAAATCTAATTTGACCCGAGTAGTGGTAACCAAGGGGCAAATTCTCAGAAATAAAGCCAAAATTGCCAAAGAAGAAAGAAGATTTTTTTTTTTCTTTGCTTGTTTGGAGTAATGAAGATTTTATTGATCTGTGTGTAATGCATAATTCATAGTAGATTAGGAAGTATTTGCATCGGGATGGAAACATTATATGTATAAAACCATTCCTTTTTTGTACATTTTGTTAGCTTGTCTGTCTGATATATTAATCAATATGATGTGTTGAACTAAATCTCCTATTTTCAAAACTTTTGTGAAACTCTTTTGTATAAAGTAGGGCATTCAATTCATAAAAAAGTTTATTTGAATTCTATAAATCAAAGTTTTCTGGCCTAGAGCAATGATGAACTGTACAGAAGCATTCTATATCCAGCAATTGTAGTATCTTGGAAAGGGCTGTCAGTCTGAAGAATCTGTTATTTGAAATTGTAAAAGTCACTTTTTTTGTAAAATAAAACTGACTAAAACTAGACTCAAACCTTTTCAAGTTTTATTCAACTAAAACTATCACACATCATTATGATAAAAATGCGACTAAGAATAATAAAGTTTTCATCCTGAAGACTAAGACTTAATCTAAGATGGTTTTCAAAAACAACACTGATGGGCAGAGAGATATTTGGTAATGGAGAAAAGCAGGAGGATATTCAGAAGGAAGTCTTGTACAAGAGAACTCACAGACCATTCAAACACAAAAATAAGTGAGTTTTCTTACCCCACCCAGAAGCTTGATGTCTCTCTCCAGTGTCTCTGCTGTTTTGGAGGATTGTAGATCCAGGTAAAACACTTTCCCAGCAAAAGGTTTGACATGTGCTGAAGATGATACTTTAGAAGTTTGCTTTGCCTTGCTCACTGAGGTCTTCTCATCCACAGCCTTTCCTAAAGTAAAACATTTAAAAACTGTTAAAAGGTTTTGTGGTGGTGACATTTCAAAAACAAAAGAACCACTTCTCCTCACTCATAAGATTTAATGCACAGATTGGCATCTAGAAGGTGCCATTTTGTCATTTTGAAAAAAAAAAAAAAAAAAGACATAAAATTATCAACTTTAAACTAACGTAACCTGGAAAATAGTCATGAATTTTGTTGAAGCTAGGGCTGCAACTATTTTTGCATTATTTTGCAAATCGACTAATCTGTCGAATATTTTTTTGATTAATCAATAATCAGATAGCCAAAGGTTTCTTAAGCAAGATTTTTTACGAAATTAAACCAGGTGAAAATAAGTCTTTTCCACTAGTGGAGTTCTGGAGAGAACATATTGACAGACAACATTTTTTTTTCTTAATTGCAAAATATTAAAATACTTTTTTACTATTTTGATAACTTACTGCACTAAGTGGGTCGCAATGTCAGCTAAAGGTGTATTTTACAGTCTCTGTACTCCATTTAACGATTAATCGATTACTAAATTAGTTGATGATTATTTGAATAATCAGTTAATCACGATTAAACTCATTAACCTAATTAATTGTTTCAGCCCTTGCTGAAACCAACTTCCCCCACCACCTATTAAAGAACTGTTTATTTAAAACTAAAGCCGGCAAACTATAAGTATTCTGTGGTATACATAATTCAAACCTAATAAAATTAGTAGATTTTAATGTATATTTCCATCAATCTATGTAAAATAATAACTAAAAACAGCAACGTCATGAAATGTTACTTTAAATATCAGCAGACAAATGAATAGTTATAAAAGCAGTCAGAGTCGAGAAAACTTACAAATATGCCCAAATAAAACGATCAAGACTGCTGTACACAGTGTAAGAAAGGCTTGCAAACGAGTATTTGTTGCAAAGTTAAAAGTTCAATATGAATTTGCTTAGGAAATTCTATCTTGTTTTGGCTGAACTCAGTTGTTATTTTAAGTTATATTTTTTAATTCCCCAATAGCCATGATTTTAAGCCATAGCAGGCGTATTGAATGTATAAATGTCAATTTGTATTTTGTGTAAAAAACAAAACAAAAAAAACTGTGGAATCTATACTGGAAAACCTAAAAATAGCTAAAAAAAAATTGCAAAAAACAACAAACAAGACTGTACCTTGCCAGTTGGGTCCAGGACTCTGATGATGATTCTGACCCTGTTTCGGTTTCATTTTTTTTTTTTCTCACAGAGAAAAACAAAAGAAGACCGTGTCCTTTTTAACCCATACAGTCCTCAGCTCAGTGTGTATGACGGACTTGGGAGTTATCAACAAACAAAAACAGAAGAAAAAAAAAACTAATTTAGAATCATATTTATATAAAGGTTACAACGACATGCCTACCATTTAAATCTCATGTATCCGGGTTTCTAATCCAAACTCGGTGGAGGCTGTACAAGTGCTCTACACGATATGTGTTGTTATTGTTATTATAAAAAGTTAAATAGCTGAACTAACTAGACTTTCTTTCTTTGTTAAATTGAGGAAATTTGAGTGCCCGGTGACTTTCTGCATCAAAACTATCGACTATATACTTTTATCTTCACATTCCTCCCAACGGTCGGTTCCCGCTTTTAAATCCGGTGTGTCAACTCAGGGATGCCAGGTCTCTTAGTTTCCGGTCACAAAATATGGTTCTCTTTATCCCATTACTAAAGCAATATGATAAGAACAATATAAAACAGGAATGTCAATAGGAGGAATTTGTTTGAAAACAAAATAGCTTACCAGAGTGTTTGATCCATACAGCAATCTATATTTCTCCTTGTGTCATTTCATCGAAACTCCTATAACCTGGCAACCCCAAACTTACGTAAACTCATTCCTTTTGCTTAAATGTGCTGTTTCTTCGCAGTTCGCTACATAAGATGGAATTTAAAAAAAAAAATCGGATAAAGTCCTGTTTTTCAAATTTCAACCCAAATTAAACATTTTCTAATATTATTTTTATATGATTAAATAATGAAAAATAATATGTTGAATCTGCCGGTCTGTGCCGCTTTGTTATGTCATCTTGTACCGTTTGCGGTGTAAACACACTTGCTAGTTTTGGGTTATGACCCTCTGATCCTACACACGTGTTTCATTTGTGGCTTTCTATTATAGCCTTTAGGACAGGATTCACTATCGTGTTATTTGAAGATAAAACCCCTAAACGGGACCATGATTGACTTCATTGAAGACGTCGTTTGTGGTTTTGTGTTTTAAAAGGTAGGTGGTTAAGTAAGGCAAGCGGCTAACTACGGTTAGCCAAAGACCTCTCCATATAATGGCTACGATGGTCGTTTAATAACATAGTAATAATGTCGTTATAGCAAGCAGTGTCGGATATGCATAAATGCGTATAAACTTTGTATATCCCTTTTTTTTTTTTTTTTTTGCAAAGACAAAATGACTCGTCAAAGTGTTGCCTCTCCTGCCATGGAAGGCATTACTCCAATCCAGCAGATGATTTCTTCCTGCTCCGGAGCCCTGCTTACATCACTACTCGGTGAGAAATCCTGCCATTATATTAAACATCTGTTTATACATGGATTATGTAGTCAGATACTTATCTCCTCACACCTGCTTTGGTGCCTTAAATAGTGCAGCTTACCCTTTACGTAAAACCTGCATTTATTAGGTATTTACTTACAGGTGCTTCTCTAGATTATATGACTAGAGTTCATTTTAAGCGTTTATTCCTTTTAAATCGTATGGTTCATGGTTTTATTTTTGATGAGTCATTCTTTGCACCCAACTGGCAAAACGTGAAAAATGCAGGAGGCAGAAGAAAAACATGATTAACCGGTAATTGGCACTTTCCTTGATTAAAAACAGGCTAATCATCTCCATTCCTCTTTGCTCTGATGTGAAAATGTATCAATCTTCAACCATTAGATGCATACATTTTAAAGTGCAGATACAATAAATAAGCCTTTATACATCAGTAGGGAAATTATCTCCTTATAAACAAAAACTAACAAGGCAGAAAACAACAAATATATATATTTAAATGCACTAATAAATGGTGGAATAATCTTTGAAATAGACAAGAATATATGATATAAAATAAAACATGTACTATGATATATAGCTCTATGTATGCACCCTGGTGCTCTATCTTTCCAGATCTTTTTCTTGAAAAGAAAATTACATTTCATAACTTCTATGTATTAAATAACCAGGAGACATGACAACAGATTTTGATAGAAATTGTAATCTTACTTAGATCAGAGAAATTGCTTAGAATATACAGAAGGCAGCTGCTCACCTCTGGGCTCATCAATCAGGAAGTGGCCCAGATTAATAGTTAAAAAGGCATTTTATACATCTCCAGTCTGCTACATCATATTATTTTACATCAGACACATTAGCAGATGATTAGACATTCTATCAAAATATCACACTTTGTTCTTAGCTGAAGGACACTGCTCTCATTCCATTTTAAAATCTTTGCCAAGTACAGAATGAACATTATAACTGTATATCCAGACGGAGGATCTGTTCTAATTAGATTAAAATGTCAGTTCTGATGCAAAAACTGGCAGCCCATACCAGGGTGTAATAAACTCACACATCATCAATGATAATTATCCTAACAGTACAGAAATGTATTTATAGACAGTATATTTCTTAGCAGAATAATAAAGCAAGTTTTTGTCTGGAACAGATGCAGATATCACATGGATATATCACAGATCATTCAGTGGACAGTATGGCTGAACGATTCTGACAAAAATGTAGTTGCAGTTATTTTAAACCAATATTGCAATTGTGATTTTATTTCAAATTTTCTTTGCACCAACTACAATGATGTAAATTACTCCAGGGTTTAGGTTTTTTCATGACCTTGGAAGCTTGCTTGTCAAAAATCCATTGTTACAGAACTTAACTGTAACCTTTGTGTGGAAAAGAAATGCTAGATTCTGCCTGCATGCATGATTTTGTGTGCTAGTAGCTGCATCCCTCTCTTCCCTTCTGTGTGGCAGCAAACCAACTTTAAGAATGTTGCCACCACCTAAAGAGTTGGAGTGAGATGTGTAATTGCTTACTTTTGTTAAACGTAATATGGACAAAAAATTGAGGGTCTCTGTGATTTGAAAATTGGGATAGTGGACTGTAATGCACATTTAACATTATTATTACAATGACCAGAAAAATTCAAATAACTTATTGCATACGTTTGTCAAAGAATCTGATGGATGAGGAGCTACTTTTGGGTCTCACTTATTTTCCTTCTTCTGGGACTTTAAACTGCACAACAAAACCTTAAACCCCACATTAACCAACCAAATCTGGCAAGTTTTTGCTTTTTTAGAGGAGATCACACCCACTAATAATTAGTTAATCAGTGTGATCGGATAAGATGCACCAGGCCACTGCTTATCCTCTTAAGTCCTCTGGAAGCAGTAAGGCTGGATCTAGTTTTTAACAAACACTTCTGCTGCATTGACACAATGTGTGTTATATGACATAGATTATTGTCCAACTGAGGTTTTATTGATGAAAAGTTGGGATTATATTTCTAGCAATATAGATAATAATATAAG